ACAAATTTGTCCCTAGTTTATGGTGGATGGAGCAAAAAATTTTTCAAGGCTATCTTGGATTTCAATTCTCCCAGTTGGGACTGAGGGTGCTTCAGTTTTCAAGCAGCTTGGGTTTTTTCTGCCGGCAGAATTTTTCCCAAATGAGGGTTTTTACATGCAGGCAGTTTTTTCCCCTGAGGAGAGAAGGAAGTCTCTCCTCTAAATAAATGGACACAGAACTATTTTTGAAACACATTTTTTATTATGTTTAGTGTGTTATGTGCTGTATGTTTAACTTGTGTTTAGCTTCATGATACCACTTGGTGTGCAGGGCCCAATGCCTCACCCTTTAGTAGGTGTGTTCCAATAGGGAGGGGATGATAGGGGAGGTACCTTATCCTGGAGGATCAGTACAATGGCCTAAGAGAAGATATGGTCATTCCAGTGTAGTACTGATTACCACTAGTTCAGGACCACACTTACTAGTGGTGGGTGGATCATATGTCTATGATGCATGGTTACTGGACATTAACAAAAGAAAATGGAAAGAACTGGTAAGTATTATATTATGATGCTTGATAATGAAACATAAAGTGATTAACTAAATTTGTAACTCATGAGGTTTGTAATGTACATGTACATATTATGATACTCAGTGAAAACTACTGATGAATAATGCTGGTATTCGGTATGTGTGTGTGTGTCTGTTTTTAGTGTGAATGTGTGTTTGTGTGTTTTTGTGTTTTGTGTTTGTTTCTTTACCTAAATATGTGTGAATATACATGTGTGTGTGTGTAAAGATGGATTCACAATTGATAGAATGTCAATGCTGGAATTAAAATAAATTGTATTTTATATACATTGTGTACATTGTGTATGTACATACATGTATTTGTGTGTATGTGTGCATATGTTTTAATATGTGTATGTGTGTACTAACACGTACATCATGTGTACATGTAACATGTACATGTGTGTGTATGTGTGTGAGCAATTATGCATGCTTTACATGTAGCTTTATATGTGTATGCATGTATAGATGTACATGTATGTGTGTTAGTGTGTCATTAGTATGTGTATGTGTATGTGTGTACATGCAGACACTTAGTAAGTTCTTAATTGAGGACTCACATGATATAATAACACACTCAGTTGTGTATACTTGTCTATTAATATATTGTGTATTATTAATTTTATTATGTGGTCTTTGTGCTACATAAAACACACTGTGCAGACTATAAAACTGTGAGTTAGTTATTGTGTTTATTAACCAGATATCAAATCAATTAATATGTCATACACAAATTAAATATTATCATTTTAATTTTATAGATTAATCTACCAGGCAATGTCACTAACAGATATGATCATTCTCTATCAGTGTGGAGTGTGACCCCAACTACTAACTGGATGATTGTGCTTGGAGGAGCGACAGAAGACGTTGATACAGCAGCTATTGAACTCAGTAAGCTATTTTAAAGTCATTGTAGCAAGGCTTAAAGTAAAAAACAAGTCAGGAGTTTTCTAGCAGCAACATAAAGTTGAGATTCTGCTTTTTCCCAGCTAATAATCTACGAGGCTGACTGGCTGAGCCCTTGAATGTTTTACATTGTTTCTAGTATGATCATGTGGTTAACTGTTTAAACTGACAGAGGTCACACATACAATCATTATATAATAAGGTTACCATAGTAACTAACTGTAATTAATTTGTGTATTTCTTATTCTCCACTATTTTGTTACTGTATAGGATATACTAGTGATAATGATTGGTCTACTAGTGTAATACCTCTGGACCAGTATCAAGATCAACTAAGAAGAAGGATACTGAGTGATTGGGAGAATTTAGGAACAGAAAAACAGCTTCAAATATTTCAAGATTGTCTGCAATTGCAAAACGAAAAAGAATTCTATGAGGAACAGCTTCAAAAAGAAATAAAAGAGAAGGAGCAGATACAGCAAGATCGAGAAAAAGAGCAGCAACAGCTTCTTCAAGAAAAGGCAACACTTAGTCAGCAACTGGATGATGCTACCACTCTCCTTGAGCAAGCAGAAAAGGATAAATCAACTGTTGAATTAGGTACTATTGTGTTGTACTGTTGTTTATGTGTACATTGTTTACATTATAATACTAGTGGATTAGAGAATGTTGAGTATGGAAATAGTATCCTGTACTCAATATAGGTCAAATTGTCCATGCATTAGAAATAATGAGATTGATGTAGAGTGAGCTCTGCTTACCATATATGGTATCATTAGCAATAATCATAGTACATGTATTTATGGGCTACTGTACATGATGCAGTGCAAATTTGTATAAGCTGCAAATATCATTTTATTTCCTATTTTTGTATTTTTATTGATATTAGAGTATAATGAGAAGCTTAAAGCTAAAGTTGCTGAAATATTGGAAGAGAAGACACAAGTAGAGGAGAAGAAACAAATTATTACTGGTTAGTGTATCATCAGTACATAATATTAGATGAGAGAATATTCTATTAATGTAGAAGATTATGAGAAACTGAAACTCAAAGTAGCTGATATGGAGGAACAATATCTCAAGGAGAAACAGATCATTATTGGTTAGTTAACTATACACACAGCATGTATTAGATGAGAGAATATGTTTATTGTGTAGACGACAATCAAAATCTTAAAACTGACATTTCAGAGAAAGACAAAGTTATAGCCAAACTGACATCACAAGTAGAGGAACAATCACAGAATGAGAAACAGATCATTACTGGTTAGTGTATCATCATCAATCAATAATTATTATTAATATTCTATTAATTTATAGACCTTAAAGAAAAGGAGTTGTACATAGCCAAACTAGTGAAGGAAAGACAAGAGAGGGTCCTCAAGCAACCTATCAAAGAGACTAGTTCCATTGGACTACAATTTAATTACCTGATCCCTTCAATGGGTAAATTATTCATGTACATGTACATGTACACATGTGAATGATTGTGTGTGCATGATGTTTCTGTATTGTTCAGATTCACTAGACTCTAGTGTCATTATAGCTGGACAGAAGTTCTTTATCCTACAAGGAGACAGGTCTCACTCACTTCAGTGGGAGAAATATGGATTCAAATTAGAGTGTCCTCAAGGAGCAGTGTCCAAGGATACTGAAGTAGCTGTTACTGCACTAGCTGGTGGTAATTTCAAGGTACCCAAAGGTACTGTGCTAGTGAGTGCAGTATATGCAATATCAGTATCTAAGGCACTATTAAAACCACTGGTAATAGAGCTACAACATTGTGTGGATCTAAAGAACACTAGTCAGACTGGTTGCCTCAAGTTTGTGAGAGCTCCACTGAAGTCTCCCAATGCTTACCAGTTCAGTATAGTTGAAGGAGGATCTTTTAGAGTTGGGAAAAGATACGGATCAATAAAGCGTGAGCAGTTCTGTTGTATGGGTATTGTAGCTGAGATGAGTAATGGAGACACTCCTAGTGACAGTGAGAGTGAGGAAGGTTATGAGACACCACCTGAAGGTACATGTATGATGGAAATGGTTTTTTATTATTAATAATGTACAACAATAGGATCAACTGATGACACACATAATGATAGTGGTAATGGAGCAGGAGAGACTAGTGAGAGAACTGCCTCAACAATAAATACTGGACTATCTCAAGGTATGTGTGACTGTAATTGTGTTGTATAAAGTTTCATTTTCATAATAGAATCAGTAACTGATGACTCTAATCAAAAAGTACAAGACGTTGAGTCTACTTCTGGTATGTATGCATTGTATATTTTATTAAGTACATTCATAATGAGGTTTTGTATTATTAGGTGCATCTAATGTTAGCAATGAATCAACTGAAGATGAAGTGAAACAAAAACCAAATGAAGACAAAGGTATATGTCACAGTTATTATGTTTTAATTTATAATTGTTATACAGGAGTCACTCTACTGTACACTGGAATGATGTATCATAAAAAGAAAGAAGTTAATCAATGGATGACTACATTTTCTGTTGTTAGAGATTTAGAAGTCCTTCAGCAAGTATGTAATGTAATTAATTTTTGAAGAATGCCATTTATTGGAATTTTAGTATTTAGAGAACAAACATTCTAAAGCTGAACAAGATGGACCATTTGTCATATTCAAGTACAATCAACCTGATGGTATCCTTCAGTTGTGTCTA